AGAATGTTCTACAAAAACTTGGCAATAATAAAATCCGGCTCTACAGACTACTTTTGGGCCCTTTTAAAGCCAAAAACAAAAAGGAGAGAAAGGAGGAACGTGACCTTTTTGACATTCTATTGATAGCCAGCTTAAAAAATATTGAATATATGTTAGCAGAAGTGGTTTTTGGTCGAATGTGGTGTTATTTAGAAACAAAGTGGTCCCCGTCCAAGTTGGCCAGCATTGTAAGTGTCAAAATATGAATACCCTGGCGTTTATTTATTTATATATTTAACCGACTTCCAAAAGAGGAGGAGGTTATCAGTTCGTCGGAATATTTTTTTTTTGATTTTTTTATTTGTTTATGTTTTATTTTTTTATGTATGTTACCGCATAACTTTGGACCACGTCAACCGATTTCGATAATTCTTTTTGCATCGGAAAGGTAGTGTCTCAGGGGTGGTCCCATACTAATCTGGTTAAGATCCGATCAGCGGATCATGAGATATATATATATATATATTTTTTTTATATGAGTTGAAGTCGGTTTTTTTTTTGCTAAAAATTACTTGTTTTTTATAAAATTATAGTTAGTTGAAAGGCAAAAACCAATAGAATTATTTTTTTTTCAACTTCATATGGAACTCGGGGAAAATTTAAGAAATACCAAAAAATTATCATCAAAATTTTCAACTTTTCAATTCCATTTCTTAAAAAAATTTTGGGTATGCAGTTTTGTAGCCCTTTTAATTAAGGTGCACGTTTCAAGTCTATAAAAATTACCGTTGATTTTTGAGAACCTTTTTGTCGAGGGTGTTGCGCATTTTCTTCCATATAAAAATAGATTTGGTTCATGCGTTATATGGAAGAAAATGTGAAACAAAATTGGTATGGAAAATATAAATACAGAAAATCGTCAAAACGTCAGGGTATTCATATTTTTGACGCTGACTGTATGTACATAGTGATGTGCCGAATAATGTGAAGTAGATGAATATGCGGATCTTAAACTCACAAGTTGAAAATAAGTACAATCGAGTTTCTAAAAACCGAACTTGCGGTTTATTACTAACCGGGCCACTGGGCTATTGGCTAAGTTTATGGCAGTCAGGTTCAGAGCCTTGTGTAACCATTTCTGTGGGAGTTTTGATGAGTAAGGATGAGGAAGAGGGAAAATTCATTAAGTAGTTCCTGCGCGAATGCCCACGTAAGACGAAGAACATTTCTTCGAATACCTGGGCAGTTTAGGCATGGTTTCACTAGAAGAGCTGTCTGCATTCGTCGAAAAAATAAGTATGATTATAGAACGTGTACGAATAGAAGCTTATGGGCATCTGTGACAAAAGCGGATCTCTTTAACCGATTTCAGATTCAAGCATAGTATACAGCTCTCAAGAAAAACTAAAAATTCATATAAACTGACTTTCAAGAAATTGGAAAGAGTTTTTCTTCTATCAAAAGTTCTTAAATCAGCTTACAACTCTAAAGAAAGAAATGCTCGTGTATTTATTTCCTCAAGATAATTTACAGCAAAGGCAAAGTACTCTTTCAAGCAACAGAAATAATGAACAAAATTTTTTCAAATTTTTCTTGTGAACTGTATACTAAGCTTAAAAACCTTATTTTCTTGAAAAACATTATACTACTTAGCTAAATTGTTAGATTTTAATTTCCAGGAAAATTAAATTTTATCCTTTCATTTCGGGTTTTCTCTTCGTTGCTTCCGTTAAGTACTTGTGCCAACGCATTATTTTTGTATATTTTTTTTTTAATTCTTTGGGCTTATTTCTATCTCTACCCACTTCTCAGTAGGTTTATGATTCTGCACTTGACAATACATACTCGTATATTTTTTACTACTTTAGCCCAAATCTGGCTAAGGCTCAAAAGCAAACAAAAAGACAAATTTCATATGCCTATATACGTTTTAATGCATATTTTTGGCTCGTATGTACATATGTATGTACATATATACTAGAACTTATACCTCTGGCCGTATATGACTTGCTAAATTCGTATATGTATATGTATGTATACATATAAATATGTACTTATATACAACATGTAGTAAGTTCTATACCAGCTACAACACACAGTTTATCTGTGAGTTTCTAACCTACATTTAATGTGCTTTTTGCTGGATACTTAAAAGTCTTACAATAATAAAAAAAATAAACACTTTTATTTTTCCTTTTTGCCGAAACCACTCTTGTGCTTTTTTTCGCTTTGTTTTTGTACAACTCATATTTAGTTGTGGCACGTTTGCTGCAAATGAGTTGCTACAAGTATTTGCTTAACATCGCTGTTAGTGGCAGTTGAAGTGCGTTATCCAAATGCGCTCTACAAACTCGTAGAAACGGAAAGGCATATTGAGATTTTTAAAAATTGCATTCATATTTATTTATTGTGGAAATACATATACATACATGTGTAGATACCTACATACAAATATAAGATATACGGCAAATTTTTACGAAATACTTTGGATTTTTAAGGATTCAATTTATACATAAATTTCAGATACGTTATGAGGAAAAGTACAAGTTATATATCGTTACCTTAGTTCACAAGCGTCCTAACCAACACTTTTTTCGAAACTGCTTTTCACAAACTTTGGTAGGATGTAATAAAATCAGGGCTCTTATCCCGTCAAATCTGGCTTTTTCGAAGTCCATTTAGCGGCAGGAAATAAGAAATTGCGGGAAGCGGGAAATCCAGCTTTTTGATAAATTGTTTTGACGGATTTTTAGCTTTTTCTCTTATACAATATAGTACATACATCTGTATTTAAAATTACCAGATAATTTCGAAACGATTAATACGGTTTCAGTGGAGGAGCAAGAAGATATTCTAAAGCATTTTAATTACAGTGCTGATATCATAGAAAAAATAATAATTCAGTATAATAAAATTAATTTTGTAAAATGTGACAATATAAATAATACAATGCAATTTTGAGCAGAAGTTCAAACTTATACGGATTCAGGTGGCGGAATTCGCACTTCATTTACTTTCACTACCTTGGTCTAATGCAGAGCTGGAACTTTATTGAGTCAGCTAAACAAAGCTACGCCACAATATACACTTATATATACATACATAGTTATATTATTTTTTTATCCCTATTTTTCATTTCTGACGATCTTCGATCCCAGCTGCATTATTCGATTATTAATTTTAATTTCAAGTAGTCTTTCAAATGAATTGTTAAAAATTATATTAATATAAAACAATTTATTTTCCAGCTTTTGTTTTGTAGAATTCAGCTTTTTCTTAGTGTTTTTTTTTTTATAAAAATCTGGATTCTTTTTACTCGCAAATAGTTGGCAGCACTGATTAAATACACCTTCAATAAAAATTTTGAAGTGTTAGTACCAAAAACAACGGAGTTACATGCCACTTTTTAAAAAGCCCTACCTGTTTTTAATATTCTTTTTATAGTTTTTTTGCTTCTCCTGTAAAATAAAAAAGAAATTTTGGTTAGGGCCTTTGTGAATTAAGGTAACGATATACCACATAGATAGATATATATATATATATATGAATGATGATCCAAATATTAATGTTAGCCATGTTTTAAGCCGAGAAATTAGACATACAGTCTTGTGAATAATAGTAGAGACATAACATTTTGACCAGTTTTGGCTATTTTTCTTTGATTAGTTTAATGTTTATTTTTTTTTTTATCAAAATAGAGCTCATTATCTAACAAAAACCATATAAATTCAAATTTTAAGCCTTGTAGAAAAATTTTAAAAATTTAACACAATTTTACAACAAACTTTTTAATTGACAATTAAAAATAAACTAAGTATGCCGTTTTATTGCCCACTAAACTCTAGCCGATAAAGTATATCTAACGATATTAAAAAGAATTATACCCGGCGCAAGTATTAAATATATGTTTTTTCACCTTTCCGAAAGCTACCGCTAAATGGTAAGCCGGGATGTATCAATTTTCAGTAAACTAGCGTCCTTAAATTTCGAAATATTGCAGCTTCAAGCATTTCTGAAATTTACCGTTATATGAAAAGCGGCCGTAATTTTAGTCCGATTTCAATAATTTTCAACGTTTTGCTTTAATGTGGCAAGCACAATAAAAATACCGAGTTTGGTACAAATTGGTAGAACGGTTACCGATATACATATTTGTGATCATAAGCGGGCGGTGCCACGCCCATTTTCCAAAATTTTACCATAAACGTATTTCTTGGTAAAGAATTGTTGCAAGCATCAATTTTGAATAAATGAACTTTAATATTTACTGATTTATCGAAGATTTTCTATTCTCTAAATTACCGTTATATGGGATGTGGGCGTGGTATTGTCCGATTTTTTAAATTTTGGGCCATTTAGTATGTTGTACCAAGGTCAATAACTGTGCCAAGTTTGGAAGAAATTGGTGCAGCGGTTACCAAGATATACACATCTAACCTTAAGTGGGCGTGGCTACGCCCATTTTCCAAAAATTTATAATATTCTTATTTTTCGTCTGAAAATTATTGTAAATATCAATTTTGAGTGAATTATCTTCAGTAGTTACTAAAATATCGCAGTTTTCGTATTTCTAGAAATTACCGTTCTATGGGAAGTGGGTGTGGTTACAGTCCGATTTCGCCCATTTTCAATACCAACCTACCTTGGCTAATGTATTTATTTCCTCAAGAAAATTTACAGCAACGGCAAAGTACCTTTTCACGCAACGGAAGTAATAAAAAAGATTTCTTGTGATTTTTCTTGAAAGCTGGAAACTGAAAATAAATACCCTTCGTATGAATATAGGACTTTTTTAAATTAGTATTTAGATGCTGAAACCATAGTCTCCACTCCCACCTATTTGTGCTCGAAAAACAAATTTACAGACATAACCTCAAACTTTAGATACATACATATGTATGTATGTACTTATGTAAATTTTGTATATGTACTTATACCTAAAATATAAAAACATCGATAATTTAAATAAATCTTACTCCATCAAATTAACCCCTTTCACTTCTACACTTTCTCCTTTCCAGAATGTGGTGGACCATCACTGGCAATTTTGGCAACATTCTTCCCATCGATTGGTCGAAATCATTTACACGTCAAATGCATATGCCCACATTAAATTTGGGCCAAAATCAGCTTGGTGCTGGCAATGGTAGCCTAGGCAATACGCTAGATGCCAACACACCCGGCGATGAGTTCACCAGTGAGGATGAGGCTGTAGCCAATGATCTCGATATGCATGCACTGATATTAAACGGGCTAAATGCCGAGCAGGAGGCGCCGATTAAAACGGTTGAAGAGGTAATCAAGGAGATTGATGACATCATGGATGAGGCTGAGAGCCCATTGGATGAGCCAGAAACATGCGAATCAGAGGTGATAGAGAAGGCTAGAGAGGTGTTGGGCGCGCCACTATATGCGGAGAGTGAGTAGAAAAAATTTGGTTTTTATTTTTAATTCAATTAAGGATTAATGGTCTTTTTTACTTTTCACAGAATTACAATATTTATCGATAACACAATTGAATGAGCTGTATATGGAAATGGAAATGCTCATACAAGAACTCAGCGAAACTTTAATCAACGAGTTGGCGCTACGCGATGAGCTAGAATATGAGAAAGAGCTGAAAAATTCCTTCATTTCACTGCTTTTAGCGGTACAGAATAAGCGACGACAGTATCATGTGGAGAAGAAGCGTGGAAAATTACAAGGTAGGTGGAATAGATTTTTTATTTTATTTTTTCAAAAATTTGCCATTTTAAAAATAATTTTTTTATTGATTGCGAAGAACGAGTTCTACTCGTGCTGTAAGATAATTTTTGCTTTTGCAAATTTACACACACAAAAAAATAAGAGAGAAAACCTAACTTAAAACGGAGCCGGTTTTGCGGTAGGCTACCCAAAAACTGGATTTTTTTATTTTTTTTCTTTCATCCAATCTTTTTCATTATTGATATGCAATTGAAATTCGATTTTTACATTTGTGTATTTTATTCTATAAGGAGGTAGCACGAGTAGAAAAACACAAATTACTTAAATAAATGATATGCACAATTACATTAATAATTATAACAAATACATCATTTTGTTTTTAATAACCGCACAGGCGACAATTCTGCTGTTCTGGTAACACCACCTTATATGAATTCGAGTATTTAATTTTCTAAATTCTTTTGCTGTTTTTCTTTTTGTGGCAAATGACTATTCATCTTAAAGTAATTGCATTAATATACCAGAGTACTCTTGTGCTATTTTTTACCATTGAAAACTCGAACAGGTCCGGAGCCAAAGTATCTGACCACTGTCATACCCTACCACATGGAGAATGGCACACCAAATAATCAGTCCTTGCAAGTGCTGATCAAAAGTGAGTACAATCTCTTCAATTTACAAAAATAAATTTAATGTTTATCCTTGTTTCTTCTTCAACTTGCAGTCCTTAAAGCCATCAATGAGGATAGTCCAACGGTACCCGCGCTGCTCACGGACTACATACTCAAAGTACTCTGCCCCACATAAATGACATAAGTGCGCACTGCATTAGCTGGTCGTCGAGTTGTTAGGTGTTTTTAGTACATTTAGCAGAAAATTTCAAAAGTAAAGAAAAAGCATACAAAAAAATAAACTCACATACGTTGGAAAAAGAGAAGTTAATGTAAATGAACAATTTATGTTTAGAAAAGTATATTTTTAATTAATCCATACTTTTTTTTATCTTTTAGTTATAATCTTAAGCAAATGCGTTAAAGAAATAACAATTAATGCATAAAATTAGCAGATTTTAATTAAAAAACTTAAAAAAAATGAGTATATATATATATATATGTGTATAGCATGTAGAACAATTATTTTTTGCTGGCATCAACGAGCGAAAAAATATATCGAAGTGTATGGCGAATTTAGTGATGTTAAGAGAAAATAATTTTTTTATTTAAACCTTACTTTGGAGTGCTGCAAAAAGCAGGTGGCATGCGTTTTTAGCGATAATCGGGAATTGAAAAAGAAAAATGGACGTCGGGTTTCTACACGAAAACTGTCAGTAGAAGGCAAACACATACTTAAGAAAATGAAATTCTTTGAAAGACAGCGATTATTTAGTAACAAATTGAAACAAAATATTAACATTCTCACAGTCCCCTACTTCTAAAACGTGAATGGTGTTCCCTAGCAAGTTAAAAGTAATATAAATAATAATTTGATCTAAACTGCCCTAAAAAAGAAAATAAAAAATTGTTGTAAATTTATTGTAAAAACGTGGCTTTTTGGTGTTAGTACATACCTTATATTGGAAAAAATTTTAGTCGAAACACTAAAAATAAAATAATTTAATTCAAATATCAGTTAAAATATTCAATCAATGTGTTATTTATCCAAAAATCGCAATTTTTTTTAAAATATCATTTGTAAAAATTTAAATCAAAGTTTATCTAAAACAAAGCAGTGCAGATTTGATAAATTTTATTTGAAAACAATATTAAATGGGAGTTATGATCCACAAAAAGAATTGAAAGTGCCGATATGCTACACTTTCCTTGAAACAATAATTTTACAAATAAACACAATAATTATAGATATAAAAAATTTAATTTTACAAAAAGCTGGACAATTTTGTTTAAATAAAATGTATTAAAAATTATATTTTACGAAAACATCGCAGATTTGGTCAATTTTATTTGTCCATAAATTTAATAAAGGTTACAATTTGTAAACATAATTGAAAAATTTAAAAAACCTTGTAAAACTAAATTTGCTAAAATTAAAAAAAAAAATTCGTTGGAAGGAATAATGAACAAAAAAAAAAATTAAGAAAAATGCGGATTAGGTATATTTCGTTAAAACAAAATGTGGAAACTATGTTTAAAAAAATGCTGATTTGCTAAATTTTATTGGAAAAATAATTTAAATCTAGAAGAAATAAGTACCAATCTAAAGCGAAAAACACCTTGCGCAAAGAACGATGCTGCGCAGACGGTAGAGCCCTCTTGCTTCTTAAAAAGTGCGGTCTCAGATGTTTAAAGCGCAGCCTTGCAAAAGCTGGGCAGTTTAAGAGGAAGTATTGTGATGAATTCACTTCGCCTTCCTCCAAGCAGCTGCGAGAGTGATGAGGATTCAGTGTGATGTTTAGTCTCACCGTGTGAACTTCAGTTTCAATACGCCCTCCAGAATTGACAGTTACGGCTTTGTAAGCTTATGAGATCGTAGCACATGTCCCCGTTTTCGACCAACGTTCACTGTGCTGACACGAGTCCCAACTAAACACGAGTAATCCACATTTAGTGAAAGGTATTCCCTTTTTTCGGTGAGACCGATTCGAGGGCGCCTTTTCTGGCCAGCTCCTCCGTCATGCATTGTGTTCTGGCCCTCACAAGTATAAGTTTGACAGGGAAATACTCAGACGTGACAGAAAGAGAGATCAGGCATTGCGAATCCAATGCTTTAATTACTGCTAGTCATTAATTCATCTCGGTATTAAATACAAAACCGTTGAATTAAAAACGAACAGCAGTGCAAGGACTTTTGACACATTTGAGGTTCCGTAATTTGTTGCTTTCAAATGAACTAAGAAAATAGAAATAATTCAAAAAATTTTAAATTGCTCCAAAAAAACGCTAAAATTCCACTGCTATTTGACTGCAGCACGCACATGTAATCTAAAAGCGCTTCGATATTATATATTTGCTCATTAATGTATATAAAAACATATATATATTTTATGTTAGTCTACGCTACACGTAGCTACAAACATAAGTATGTATAGGTTGCTAGTTATAAGTATATATTTGTATGTGAATATTTTATGCAACTGTAAAAGCTTGATCAGTAACTAAGTACAACACTGATCACCCTTTTAGTGCCGCAAAATATAGCTTACATCATGTATCTATAGTTTTTTTAAAAAGCTAAATGTAATTGAATGTAATTTATTATTATTTGTAATGCTTATTGGCAGTGTTTGCTTTTCATGTAAGTCAGTATGTATTAAAAAATAGAAGTAAAAAACAATTATTATACATACATATAAGTGTATAGCGTAACGTGGATGTTGAAGCAAAAAAATGTGCACAGTGTACGGTAAAAATAGGCATGCGCTGCGCACTTTTTCTTAATTATAAGCTTTTTTATTACAAGATTTTATTGGTTGTTGCTTAGTTGTTCATCCATATACTGCCAATTTTTAGTCAAAAAACATTATAGCGGAGGTTTTGAAAAACGTTTTAGAATGTGTTTCGCTTTGCAAAATTGATTCCATATAACTTTATGGCATTGAAATGCGTTTCCATAAATAAAGAAATAAACATTTTAGACAGTTAGAAATATGGCACCGCGTTTATAAAAAAATAGCTTTAACTCAGGCTCAATTTACTAATTAAATTTTTGAACTTAAGCTCACTTCGTTAGTTGGAGGTGAGACCTATTTTAATTTTTTTCTCATTTTGTTTAATTGTTACCTTTTTAAACTCTAAAGAATTTTACTTATGGCGTTTTCGTTTCTACAGAAAATGTTGCCTTTCATTACCCAGTTCTTAGCGTTTAAAGGGCAATGAAAAGGTAACATTTTTCGGTAGAAACGAAAACTCCATTAATTTCTTACGGCCGCCGTGGTCGAGTGGTTAGAGGTGCGCGCTTCTACTCGGTAGGTCCAGGCCTCGATCCCTGGTGCGAGCAATATAAAAAAAGTGTTTTTTTTCTAATAGCGGTCGCCCCTCGGCAGGCAATTCCAAATCTCCGAGAGTATTTCTGCCATAAGGGAAGTTTCTTATTGAAAGCATTTGCCTTTCGGAGGCGGCGTAAAACTGTAGGTCCCTCCCATTTGTGTGAAGCTCGTCCAAGCACCAGCAAATGTGTAGGCGCCAAATATTAGTTAATTAATTCATTATAAAAATTGCCGTAACTGTTTCAATTTTATTTATTTTCTTTTGTTTTATTTTTTATTTGTTATTTATTTCATAAAATTTTATTGTTTATTTTAATCATTCTTTTAACTTTGCAAAAATGTTACGAAACCCAATGTTTTGTTCTATATGCATGTATTTATATTGCACATGCAAGTTACATATGCAATTAGATTTTTTATTACATTTCATATTTCTCAACTTATTTAAGTTTTTTATTCTCTTGTAAAAAATTAGTTTTAATGTTGAAAATCAAAAAAAAAAAATAGTTTAAACTAAAATATGCTAGTTTTAAATTTATTTACAGTGGCCATATTAATGCTTTCATTATTGTTACCTAATACTACAAAATTTATATTGTATATTTCTTTAAGTACAAGTACAATATACAAATATTTTTTATTTAAATTAAAAAATATATATATGTAATCACTTATCATTTTTTCTTTAAAAAGGCAAATTTGCACCTTTAAAAAATTTTGTTTAAATAATTGCTAAAATTTTTAATATCCGTCTCAATTTTGGGTAAGAATATACAAAAATATATGTATATACTCAAAATTGTCAACTTTCTAAATTCAAGCACCCGAATTATTTTCTTTTTTCTTCATATTTGTAATAGAAAAAAATGCTTTGTAAAAAATGTTTCCAAAATAACTTTGAGAATTTCTTAAACACAAATTCTAAGCAATTTTGGCTTATTAATGAAGTATATATGCATAAGTATGTATGTATATACATACATACATATAAGGATTTCGATTCGCTAATAACTTGCTATAACTTTTACTTTGCTTTTAGATTTTTTTCTGAAACTTTAACATGCCAACTATGTACATATACATATATCTTCCCAATCTCTGTGTTATTTTTATATTAAACTTTTTAAACATTACGACCTTTTTGTTTAAAACTGCAGCAATACTTTATAATAAGCACTTATACATTTTTTCTATTTATAAAAATTTTTAATCAAATTTTTTTCTGTTGTAAAATATTTTTTCAATAAAGCTTATTTTTAATTAAAACATCAGCTTGTTTCATTCTTTATAAAAATACAAAAAACGAAATTTACTGCTTGCTTGTTCTTACATTTTTTTGCTATATTACAAAAACTCAAAAGCACAACAATTTTTTTTTGCTCAGTAAACTTTATAATTTTTTATATGCGTAGAAGTCATATTTTTTAATTAAATCAATGTCCATTTAATTTTTTATTTTAATTTTGTTATTCGCATTTCGAAGTCAAAACAGGCCACTTAAGGTGTAACCAGATAACACAATATTTTGTATATTTTTCATTAAGTGAACTGATACTTGATCGCAAATTTTTTTTTATCAAAAAGAACTACTTTTTTTTAATAATGGCGCGCATATTAAAAGCAAACTAATTTTTTAATATGCACTTTAAATCCATAAAACCGTCATCCTCTCCGCTTTTCAATGCTCCCATCTAATAAAGCTTGCCTTATTTTCTACAGTTAGTAATAAATTTTCTAATCATAAAACAAAAAAGAAAAATAAAAACAGATAACCACAGCAATAAACCCAAATGCACCCACACTCTTATCGTCTAAAAAATACTAACATCCATACTTATATACAAACTTATATACCCAAGAGCATCAGCTTCAGTTCACAACAAGTAAATAAATGTTTGAAAAAACGACATACATATATGTATATCAACATAAATAACCGTTGCAAAAATAACGCTAAAAATAGTACTGCTTTGTGAAGACAAAAACCGAAAAAAAGTGGAGATAATTACAATTGTCATGGGGTGCATTGAAGTACGACTGTGCAATAAAAGCAATTTTGTAGTTCAGTGTCATTTAAACTCGAAAAACAAAAGATGATGCAATAAAAAATACATAATAAACACAAAAAGTATATACCAAACTCACAAAAAAGCACCCTAGGTACCTTATACAGATTTATATGATTCGCATCCATGAAGATAACCTCTATATAAAAAATGTTAGCTTCAATGAGCAAAGATATTTATTTAAAAGTTTTGCTACATTTACACGCTAATTATTTGGATTACCATAACCTATACGAAGTTTGAAAAAATTGCATACACACAAAGGTATAAGTATACACATATACATTTGACAAAAACAGAAGGTTTTTAACAAATTTATTTGCGAATATGTAAGCAACTTTTTTTTTTTTTGACATAAATACATACTATCTTCAAACATTATCTAAAAAACGTAAATGTCGACAGCTAATTGAAACTAAAAAAATATAGTTACATTTTCTTAAAAAACTAAGAAAAAATGAACTAATAAAAAAATATATTATAGATTTAGGAGTTTCACAGAATAATAATAAAAAAAGCATGAAATTGCGCTAAATAAATGTATTGAAGAAGCAAATAAATTACAAGATTGTCCATGTTTATTAGATATAACGATAAAACAAAATGAGAAAAAGGTATAAAGATAAAAATATGAAAAATTTAAATAACTACGTAAGAAAGCGTGCAAAAGCTTAAAATATTTATGAGGTAATAAAAAGCAGAAATTTTCTCGAAAAATAAACAAATTTCAAGAATAAAAAATTATAAGAAAAATTATAACAAAACGTAAAAAAATATTATAATAAATGTAATGCGATTCTCTATATACAAACATTTAAAAATGCTTAAATAAAAGATATTAAAAAATGCACAAAAAGTGATTGGAAAATTAATTTTAAACTTTCTGAAAACAAAAATTAACTGAATTAGAGGAATTTTGCTGGAGTTTCTAACTTTTTAGAGAATCTTAATTTTTTTAGGTTTATTCGTTTTGAAAAACTTCAAGTTTTTCGAACAATTTCAAATTTTACATAAAATGTTATGGCCTTATTCATAAAAAATAAAGTAGCTTTAAAAAACGTTTATAAACTGAAAAATGTATGAAAACGTCACTTTATAAAGCTCTTTAAACCTACTTTATTTTTTATGAATAAGGCCATTAGTTTTTAAAATGAGATGAATTCCGGAAGGATTTTAATCTTTTTTAATTGCGCAGTTTTCGACAATATTACATTTTTAGGGTATTTTATATTTTTTTAGAAGTTTAAGATTTTTGGCCTTTTTATTTTTGGTAGAATTTTAAATTTTTGAAGAATTTCACATTTTTAGGGGGACTTAATATTTGGATTTTTCGAGAACTTTAGGTTTATTTAGCTTTATTATTTTTGAAGGGTTTTAAATTTTTGGAGAATTTTAGGTTTTTTGGGAATTTTCGATTTGTAAAGAATTAAAATTATTGAAGAATTTTATATTTTTGGGAAACCTTAAATTTTTGGGGAACATCACATTTTTTGAAAAGCTCTACAATTTGTTAGAGAAAGATTTTATTTTATCTTTTTTAATTGTACGCTTTTCAAGAATCCCAAATTTTTGGCTATCCATAAATATTGAGGAATTTTTACTTTTTAGAGCATTTAATATTTTTTGGAGAATTTACAATTTTTGGTAAATTAGAGAATTTTAAATTTCTAAATTTTTGATGAATTTTAAATTTTGCGTTTTTGTAGATAGTTTCAAATAATAACTTAAATTTTTAAAACAAGATGAATTCCGGAAGTATTTTAATCTTTTGTATTTGTACACTTTTCGAGAATTTGAAATTTTTGGCTATCTTAAATTATGTATTGCGGAATTTAAATTTTTCAAAGCATATTCCATTTTTGGAGAATTTAAAATTTTTTGTAAATTTTAACTTTTTGGGGAATTAAAGATTTGTGCGAATTTATATTTTTGGAAAGCCCTAAAATTTTTTAGAGAATTTCAAATTTTAAGCAACTTGAAAATTTTAAAAAAGAAATTAATCCAGGAAGCCTTTTAATCTTTTATTGTACACTTTTCGAGTGTTTTTTAAATATTGGAAAATTTTAAATTTTTGCAGAACTTTACATTTTTGCAGAATTTTAGATTTTTTGAGAACTTGAAATTTTTTGAGAATTCGAAATTTTTTGAAAATGGCGAGTTTTTTGAGAAATTAAAATTTTTAGAGAATCTAAAATTTTGAGAAATTTTATTTTTTTAAGCTCTAAAATTTTGTAGAGAATTTCAAATCCGAATTCGGGAATTGTAAATTTTTTAAAAATCCTTAAATAATTGTATTGTAGAATTAAAATTTTTTAAAATTTGAGTTTTTTCATTAATTTTACCATTTTGGGGAACTTTAAATTTTCGTAGAATTTTAAATTCTAGTAAATTTTTACGTTTATAGAGTTGTGAACTTTTCGAGAATTTAATTGTTTTTGGAGAATTTAAGATATTGTTAAACTTTCAGCTTTTAATCAGCCTCATTGCGGAAGTCGTAAATTAGGCTAAATTGTACGACTCGACAACAGTAGCATTGCCTATTGTCGTACTGAAATAAGTAAACGACCAAAAGCGTCGAAAACTATACAGTGCTGCCAAGTTTTTCCGTTTTAATACCTAGTCGAGTGGAAATTTTAGGCAATAACGAGAAATTTTCGATGCGATTCGACTCTCGAAAAACGACTTGCATTCGACACGACTCTCGCATCTTCTCTAAACCTTAACACTTTGGAAGGTTTTAAGTTTCGTAGAAACTTCGGTGAAATTAAAAAAATTACTATACACATGTACATATAATTTCGACTTCAAATCTCATTGGAAATTCTGATTTCGGTAAAGTTTCGGAATGGCTCGGTGGAACTTAAAAGTTATCTGGAATTCAGCATAATTTTCATTAGCTTAATCCTTGCAACTTTCGATAGGAATGTTACATAAAAATAAGAATTCTCAAAGAGGGTTTCTAAGTCACATGATTTCTTCCTCAGGTTTAGAGTTCCTTTTTATAGAAAATTACGATGTGATTATGCCAACAAAACAGCTAGAAGAGACTTGGGACACTGGGCGACTTCGTATGATTGTTACTTTGCCAACAGTGTGATCAGCGATAGCTATTTTTGAGTGCAGGCCAGAGATAATGATAATCTTTCATTTCGGAAAGGGGTGCTTTAATTTTTAAGCTTTTGCGTTCTAATCTACCTGATAACAGCGCACGCTGTCTCCGAGAAATGTTCGAAAAGCTCTCTTTTAATCTGGATGTTTTATATACATATGTATGTAAGTATGTACTTCGTTATCTTGGGGGTCGGTCAGGTTCGCAAATATAAGTTTATTAAATTAGCGATAAGGTTTCGGCCGGTTTGAATGACAATTGTGCTTGAGTTACTAGTGTTGGGTGGTTAAATGAACCTATAGATGCTTCTATATGCAGAGGTATTTTATAGCACCCTACGGGGCTCAGTGTGACATGAAAATTTAATAGATTTCGCAAAGCTCTCGGGCGCTTTGCTGTAGCTGCTAAGTTTGTATCTCTAGAAGCTTTTTGATTGCGTCGAAAGAAATCCACTAGTTTGTTAGTTGGTACGCTTCTTATCAGTCCAATACTCACGAGCGCACTTCACTTTCAAAACAGATAACAAGAACCGGTACTTGTAATGATGAAATTAAACTTCCACAACGAGCATCAAATCAGCTCTTAAACGCTCGTATGCAAGCGTAGAAAACTCAGTTCAACTCCAACAGTTAAGCGAGCGCGATGGTTGAGAAGGTGATTTTAGCCTATTCCGGTGGTTTGGATACCAGCTGTATTCTGAAATGGCTGCTGGACAAGAGCTACGAGGTGATCTGCTTGATGGCCGATGTCGGACAGAAGGAAGACTTTGAGGCAGCGCGTCAGAAGGCCTTAAAAATAGGTGCTTCAGAGGTGATTGTCACCGATGTAAAGGAAAACTTCGTTGAGCACTACATCTGGCCAGCCATACAAATGGGTTTGATCTACGAGGAACGCTATCTGTTAGGCACATCTCTTGCACGTCCCTGCATCTCCGTCGCGCTGGTCGAGGCGGCTAAGAAGTATGGCGCTAAGTATATTGCACACGGCGCCACCGGCAAGGGTAACGATCAAGTGCGTTTTGAGTTGAACGCGTATGCGCTGCTACCACACATTAAGGTTTGTTTTCTTGCGAACTCTTGAAGGACTCTTCTAAAATTCGTCTCAGAGATCTTTTAGTTGTCTACTTTATCCGTTTGTTCTGTTCTAATTCGAAACGAACCCGCATCCACTGATCCTACTTTCCGTTTAGTACATAATTTCTGTCTCGTCTCCTTCCACAGATCATCGCTCCATGGCGTGATGATGAATTTTGCAAACGCTTTCAAGGTCGCTTGGATCTCATCGAATACGCCAAGAAACATGGCATACCAGTAAGTGCAAAACCCGCTGCCCCATGGAGCACAGATGCCAACATTCTGCACATCAGCTACGAGTCAGGTGTTTTGGAGGATCCCTTCCACGTTGCACCCGAATCTCTATACGAAATGACCGTCGATCCCATCACCAAAGCACCAAAGGCACCTAAACGCCTCTCCGTGCACTTCATCAGCGGTCTACCTACTCGCGTAGTTGATCAGGCGACAGGCAAAGAGTACACAAAACCTTTCGAAATACTACAGTTCTTGAATGAGGTAGGCGGTGGCTACGGCATCGGCCGTATTGATATCGTAGAGAATCGTTTTGTGGGTCTTAAGTCCCGTGGCGTCTACGAGACCCCTGGCGGTAATATACTCTTCACCGCACATCAAGATTTGGAGGTGTTCTGCCTAGATCGTGAGGTCCTACGCACCAAACAGGTTTTACGCAATCGCATGGCCGATTATGTCTACAATGGTTTCTGGTTCAGTCCGGAGGCACAATATGCACGTCGTTGCCTTGAGATTTCACAGGAGCATGTAAGCGGTGAAGTAGTGATTGAACTGGCGCCAGGTTATGCGCGCGCTATTGCCCGCAAATCGGCCAAGGCGTCGGGCGGTTTGTACAACGAAGAGCTGGTCTCAATGGATGTACATGGCGGTTATGTGGCGAACGATGCGAGCGGTTTCATTGCCATCAATTCTGTACGCATCAGGGAGCATGTACGCGCTTTTGGCGATTACGAGCTGCATTGAGGTGAAAGTTGTGGGAATTGTGAAATGGACGTCTTTGCAATAAAACTACTTAAAAAAAAAACCTGAAATGTGAGGGTTCTTTTAATTTGGAGCTCCGGCTTATGGCTTGTATTGTAGAGGGCGATTTCTCGGGGGGCTTTCTGGAACAGACACCTACACAAGTTTGGGACACATACTACATACATACATATGTATGTATGTTATTAGTTTAGTTACAGTTCAATCAGCTCACGAACTTCCGGCATCGACCGGATTGGCTACCGAGTGATTCTTTATAGGCGGCGTACACGGTGCGTCTGACTCGCGAGTCGATTTGGATGGGTTAGTGAAAATAAATATGTGTTAGTTACACCGATATGGCTCGGAATGACTCAACTGTGTGTAGTCGAAAGTCGAGTCAATACGTACAAAGATGACTCGGTAGTCAGACGCACCGTCTATGGTGCCTATTAGAAATTCGATTCCTGGGATCAGAAGATACTTTTATGATAGTACGCTCGCTTTTTTGAAGTGCTTTAAAGTACATACATACATAATTTAAAAGAAAAGATAAGCTAATCAAGATGAGAGAGACCTGAAATCTTAAGAGTGCAATTGTGTTACTCTAGTCTTGAGGTTTTATTTTTGGGTACAAATAGTAAAATAAATTATGTTATAAATTTGACGTTAATTAACGGCGTCAGACATCACACTGATAAGAAACCACGCGACAGAAAAGAACAACAAAAGCAAAACCGTCCTGTAGCAAAATAAATAAATTTGTGTTGTATAAAAAAGTTTATTTAAATAAATTGTAATTGAAAAAAAATTGTTTCATATCGCTAGCTTAGATGGAAAAGTTGCTATGTCTAATTTTTGTAAAAACTTATTTTGATACAGGAACCAAGGCTTATATTCAATGAAAGGAAAATTTGCATAGTCCAAAAAAGCACAGAAAATTCGATAAGGTCCAAGAAATACGAAATCTTTTATTTAAGATTAACCAAGTTTTGCTGGGAGTTCTAGAAAGATTTTTTTTTATAACCGGATAATCCGAATATTCGAATATCTGATTAAAAATCCGATAAGCCGGATAATAAAATGAACATTTATTCACCGGATATCGGGATAGAAAAATTAACGGATATTAACCGGATATCTGAATTTATCCGTACTCAATAATATCCGAACGAATATCCGAATATACTGATGGTCGCAGTCCTAGTAGGGTGTAATCACATCTTAACTTAGTAATATTCCAAGACTGTCCTTCACAGTTAACATTTCGAAAACAATGGACACTTCAGCCTTTTTCCAGGAAATCAGGAATGCGCACCCACTAGCGCGCATAGTTTAATGGAATACTTACCACTATACGGTACTTTTGTTTGACGTTTATAGTAAAATCAACTACGTTTCTGTTTGATTTTACTACTTTTCCCGTCAGTGTAGGTAATGTAAAATTGAATGCCATACTTTTCTTAGGACTTCGCCGTGGGGAGAAAATGCATTGCCGAATATGAAAACGGCTGTTTACTGATTATTTTTTCGATTGCCATACATTACATCTTCCCACTGGGTTTTGCTTCCGGATATCAGGATGTTCGGATTTTGTAATCAGATATTCGAATATGCAGAATTTAAAAAATCCGTGTTAAACTCTAGCCCTAGCACCTATCTGAGGAAAGAAAGTAGATCGTCAAGTCTCATGGCTATCAGTTCACCTTAGTTCAATTTATCGTCATAGCCATAGACATCCTGACAAATTTTTCCAGTCCCTGTCAACTCTACAGAAGAATCGATATGAAGACTGAACGTCGATGGTAGACACATACCTTCTTTCGGAGAGTCCAGCCCCAACCTCGATTTCCGGGAAAGTATCTACGCGACTGGAGAAAAGATAGCATACCATTCTACGTGCGAGCAAGGGCCACATGACATCAAATATTTCTACTTGTTACCTGGTACCGGAAGACGACCGTACACCGACACTTGATTTAGCCGAAGCCACCTCCAAACTTCGGCTTCCGGAATCACCGGGCGATTCTACATGGAATTGGTATGGGGCATCCATGGAACAAAAAAAAACCACAAATGTGTTTACCTTGTTATGTTTTTATCATGCTGTGGTAGTTAGCACTGGTAGGTGGCATTAAACTTTTCATTTTTGTCATCAATTTACTTCGCAGACAGGTAGAAATTATTTTAATTTTTATGAATATGTTTTTCTCTTGATTGATTGATTGAGCAGCTCAAATTCGGCGTTGTTAATTTCCAAAAGATGAAAATTACATACACTGCTGGCAAAAAGTATTGGCACAGCAAATTAAAAAAAAATATGGGTCATTCTACAACAAAAACAGAAAAATATAGGTCCTAAACTTTGTGCAAATTTTTATCGCTAAAAATCTCCAAAAGAATAGGAAGCGCGCCTAACAATATGCAACACCTAGTTACATGATCATCATGCTACCAGCTTTGATTGATACACATTGTTTCTGTTAGTTTTTTGTTGCGTGGTTTTAGGCCCCACTGATTTCCATTTAGAGAATTTTGGCCATGGAAATTTAGCGTGGCGATTGTCAGAATAAATAAGCTTTGTTTCTTAACACTAATTTCTGCTGGAAAGCGTTTCTTAACCCAAAAAACTAGCAGAAACTAGCAAATCTCTCGTTCTTACGCTCTTCTTTTTTTGGCTCTCCTGCTAATTTCTGCTAGTAAAATTATTACTAGCAAAAACTAGCAGCTGTCAAAATGGATAAATATTTTCAATAGTCAAATACACCGATCAGCTGATTACTTGCTAGTTTAGCGTTTCTTTACCTATTCGTTATTTCGCTCTCGGTGAGCGTAATTCTTTCAATTTTCTCATTCTTCTTCCTGATAATTATCTGCTACAAAAGAAAAGAAACAAAGCCATAAAAATAATTAACAACCACAGTTGGAAATCCACAATCCACAATTGGAAGATTTTTAACCATTTTTCTGGCAACACTGCACAAGTCGAAGCGATACGTAAGCCGAAGCGCATCCATGTAGATGCGCCCTAATTGACGTAAGCGTGTTGACGTTAGCCGTCACAAACAGCTGGTATTTTGCTTGTAAACAAAACACGATTTTCCGGTCAAGCGATCTTTTTCGAATTTTTCGGCTAATTCATTGAAATCTAGCTAACTTATTTAATATAAAAATGTATGAGGACGATTTTGCTTTATGCGGTTTAATGTTTACTTACATCTGCTCGTTGTATAGGCGTTTAAAAGATGAAAGGCATTCATCGTCGCAACCATTGCGACCGCAGCCTACAAGGCAATATTTGACTCGCAACAGAAAGTCGAAGCCAAAACCAGGTTATTTTGAAATAGTGTTTCTTCAAATGAAAGCAAAGGATAATGAAGACTTCTTCATGAGCACTCGTATGAATGTTTCGCTTTTTGACTCACTTTTATCTTTGGTTGGTGATGAATTAAAGCGGGTAGTATTACCAGAGGAAATCTCAACTGAGGAGCGTCTTGCCATAACTTTGTTGTAGGTATACCATACTTACTATATGTATTCCAAATAACAGCATATTATTTTTTCCTAATGTAGACATTTAGCAAAGGGTGTTTCCTATCAGTATTTAGCACAACTTCACAAACTTGAGAGCGAAGAAGCGGCTCGCGATGTCGTATTCAAAACCTGTTCAGTATTATGGAAAGTTTTACAGCCTATTTTCGTAACAGAGCCAACTGAGTCTGAGTATAAAAATATAGTAAAAAATTTCAACACGAAATGGCATGTGCCCAATTGTGTTGGTGCTATAACCAGTAAGAAAATAGTACTAATCAAGCCAAGACCAAATGGTGAGTCGAAGTACAAGAATCTCGTTATATTGGCGACATGTGACCATAACTATGTATTTACATCAATCACCGTTGTTAAAAACGGTGAGTTGCTAATTGGTAGTGAGTGTTTTACTGTAAATTACTCCATATTTGAATCTTTTGTACATTTTCTTAGGCGAATTCGAAGCAAGGTCTTTCGGTCAGAAGCTAATGGATAATGTGTTGTCGCTGCCCGAACTTGAAGTATTCGATGAAGATCAGGTACAATTTCCCTATTATTTCGCAGGTGATTTAGGTTTGCCTCTGCGTAAAAAGTTAATGCGTCCATACCCTGGTCTGGCGCAAAACCTTCAGCGAAGAATTTTCAACTATCGTTTGTCTCGGGCGCATCAGGTAATTGAGAATGCTTTTGGTATTTTGACCGCCCGCTGGCAAATATTTGGCAAGCCAATAAACGCATCATCAGCGAATGGTGAAAATATAGTGCTGGCGGCGGTAGCACTGCATAATTTTGTAATGCTAAGTGACAAAACGCATTTGAAAGCAAAACTTATGTACTATCCCGAAAAGTATGCAGATTGGGAGGATGGAGATCACTCAATCAAGGAAGGGCGCTGGAGAGCAGATATGAAGAATACTCTAGGTTCCGCACTTTTGTACTCCGTATGCTCCCTTAATACATCAAGTAAATCCGCTTTCAACCAAAGGGATGAACTTGCTGAATACTTCGAGTTTGAAGGATCAGTGGAGTTCCAAGGGGAATTCGTAAGAAAATTAATTAAAGAGAATAAAAATGAGGGTGATAGAAGTACATAAGGTAGCATTAGCTACCGAGGACAAAAATTATCGTTGCGTTTAGGTAGTGAAGCGCATACAACATGCAACTCATTTTTAATTAAAATAACTACAAATAAATTTGTTTGCATTAACTTCAACAGTAGACTTTTATTTAAAGGTGCTAAAAAAAAAAAAAAACTTGTTAACTAGGCATTTTCTATAGTTGATCATTTATCTAAATATTTAAAATTAAATTTATGCAAATCTTTTGATAAAAACACCCTGTGCTCAAGTTTCAAAACTGTGTCACCCCGTATGACATTTATGCGGCGAATTTAAATGTCTATTTTAATCGAAAATTTCTATCGAAATAATTACTCATTCCTACATTTACCTTGCAGCAAAAATTCGTGATTTTTTGTGGGCAGCAGAAGAAAATTGTGCAAATTAAAACGGCAACGAAAGAAAAGTGTAAAAAATTATTT